ATGTGTAATAGAAATGTCTGTTTATTACTGATGATGTTGGATTATAGTCGTGTCGTGAAGGATGTGATATTTCAGTGTGAACTTCTCACTATGCCAAAATAAAATGCATTTTTCTTCCAATACTCTGTGCCTCACATTTGGATTTTATTCTCTGTTTCTTGCTGGTTCCCACACTGTTCTACTCTGTTATTTCATCCCTCCCCCCTATATAGGGGCTAAGAGGTGGAGCCCTCCCTATCCAGCTTTCAGCCTCTTTTAATGACTGTGCTGGAAGAGGGGTGACTTGGTAACCTCACCTCCTACAAACTCATTGTGCCATGAGTTCAGCAGAATGTTTTCTAATATATGTGAAGTGCTGCGGGCAAGCAAAAGCTGAGGTCCTCTCCTCTGCTGTTCTCCCCGCGACCTGCCAATCACCAAGTCCTATCAGATGTGTCCTAAATCTCTCTCAAGTCAGTCCTTTAGCATAAGACGTGTTAGTTTCACTCCTGAATCACGGAAGTATCCAGCTAACTGGACTCTTCCATTACTCATGGGTTTCTATCCCCTACCCTCCTGCCTACCCAAATCTTTTCTCCACTCGACATGCTGGAGCAATGTTGCCAAAACCTAAATCTGTGTACATCAATTCCCTGCTAAAACCTTGGATGGTACCCAGCCTCCCGTAGGAAAGTCCTATACTGTCTAGACTTGACAAATAAGGCTTTCTAGCTCAGATGCCTGTTCGCCTCGCACTTGCACTCAGCAATACTGAACTATTTCCAGTTGCCAATTGCACCATATACCCTTTCTCAAGCTCCATGCTTTTTTTTAGTGATTCTTTCTAACTATAATTGCCATCTCTCCACCCTCTTCTATCTGGAACATTCCTATTCATCCTTTAAAACTCTGCTCCAGAGTCACCCTTTCTTTGATGTCTCTTTCGAATCTTCCCAGATATAAACTACTATATCTAGCAGTACACACCAAATTATAATTATTTGTTAGAATAATTTGTTTCCCCTTCTGGGCTGTGAGCTTCTTAAGGGCAAGGATCATGTCTTACTCATCTTTAGATCTCAAGAAGCTAACAGTGGTCTGACCAATTATAGCTATATTATAAATATTTCTTAAGTGAATGAAAGGGTGGATCCTCATAAGTGAAAACAATACACACCCTGTGTAATCTGTGGGACTGAGTGCTAATAAAAGAAACATCTGACGGGGCTCACCCCTTATTTATCATAGTTAGTTCTTCTTATACTTTTGACATTTCTGCAATCTTCTGGTAAAACTCTAAGGTAAGCATCTCATCTACACGAAGGAGCAACAGACACTGACCAAATCAGGCCTGTTGGTGAGCCATGCACCTTGTGATATTAGTATTGTCATAGATGGGTTATTTTCCTCTTCATCTCCTCCGTATGACTCTGGGCAGCTGTCCTTATACGGAAATTCATGAAAAGTCAAGCTTCTTGACAATTTCAGAAGCGAAGTTGCTGTCTGTAAAGCTCTTCCTCCTTCCTCTACTGAAATGTTTGCTCTTCTTTCTTTCTAAAATGATGAGAATATAGTCAGGCATTGTGTATCCCAAGACCCACTGATCAGAGTTAAATTGGAAACTAAGGAGCCCACAGTGGTGCTTTTTGCCTATTCGATTTATGAGCTCACTGTGTCCATGAGTCCCTCTGTGGAATCAGTGTAAGCCGGAAACTGGCATGCCTCCATTTTTACTATTATGACTGCAATCGATGGGGAACAAATGAATATTCTCCATTTTACCTAACAGCGCCGCTTCCCAGAAAACTCTGGGGGGAAAATGAGAGGTGCGCTATTTTTCCTTATATATTCGTAATCATTTTGCAGGCTTTCCATTATTTTACACCACTGAGTTTTTCCTCATAAGGTACACGTTTTACTTAGAAGTCAGAATTAATAGCTATTGTGTAACTAACGATTGTTCTTTTATGAGTTAATTATCCAAAACAGGGATGAATAGACCAAAAGGTGACATCAATATAGTCTGCATGTATTTCAACCTCTGTTTCATAAGACAAGATTTTACTGTAAAATGCATGGTTCCAGATTATTTTAAAAATATAAATTGGTTTCTCTCATTTCAAATAATTAATCTCTGAAACTAATACAATTGGAATTTCACTCTTCTATGAGTCAGTTTTTGAAAATATAATTGAAAGTCCATTTGGGGGAAAGAAAACTTATTTTTCTTTTCTCTCTCTTTCCTCTTTTTTTACTGTTTTATTCTTTTGTTCAGTAAATAGTAACTGGACATAGTATCTGTTGACTGGATTTGGCTAGACACTGTGAAGAATTTAAAATTTTCAGTTACTGCCCCTAAAAACCTTACAGAGACAAACAAAGAGTTAACTAAAAGAAGAGATGTCACACACGGTACCAAGTGAGTAGTAAGGGCAGTAACTCTGCAAATTCACAAGCCAGTCTTTACCTCCCTGACATTTTCTTTTTTTTTTTTAACACCTTCATTGGAGTATAATTGCTTTACAGTGGTGTGTTAGTTTCTGCTTTATAACAAAGTGAATCAGCTATCCGTATACATATATCCCCATATCTCCTCCCTCTTGCATCTTCCTCCCACCCTCCCTATCCCACCCCTCTAGGTGGTCACAAATCACCGAGCTGATCTCCCTGTGCTACGTGGCTGCTTCCCACTAGCTATCTATTTCATATTTGGGGGTGTATATAAGTCCATGCCCCTCTCTCACTTCGTCCCAGCTTACCCTTCCCACTCCCCTGCTCCCTGACATTTTCAATCAGAGCTTACCAGCCTGCCATCCTTTGTGATTTATTTATAATGGTTCTTCTCATCTCGATCCAACATAGAGACAGATGCAGGAACATATCCTCTTTCTATCCCCTATCTCTATACAGCTTCAGCTCTACTTCTGAGCTCTTGAAATAAAAATTGGAAGCTCTTCCCAGACTAGTTTGTGAATGTCAGATTATTATCTGCCCACTTCCTCTGGAGGAAAGGAGATGGGTTACGTGATTCAGGAGGGGTGTTTTTTCTCCTGCTCTATATATATCAACCATACCTGCACATTTAAAATCTCATAAAAAGAATGTATTGGACTGTGTTCAGCACTGCATCGTTACCAAGTTGAGGAAGCTTCATTAACAACTCTGTGTTTTTCCAGTTATTATTGAAGCCTGACCTTGGTTATATTACCACCCATTGTGAATGGATACACACTCTTAACTCTGTAAACTAAGGCTGTTCCATGCCCTTCTTTCCTTTCCTAGCAGTAGGCAAATAATCCTTAACTCATAGAAGCAACTGGAGAGCCTGTTTGACCAGTTTGTCTGACATCACATTTTGTTTCTCCACCACTTTTCTTCTTTTAGTCCCCAGTGAGTCATCATCTTTTGAGCAGTCTTCTGCAAGCACAGCGGGCCCTCCAGATCTGTGGGGTCCACACTGAGGACTCAACCAACTCCCCATCAAAGGCAGATCCAGGGGACGAACCGTACATCACTGTTTTATATAAGGGGCTTGAGCATGTGAGGATTTTGGTATTGGGGAAGCAGGGGAGAGGCTGGAACCAATCCCCTGTGGATACCAAGGGAGGATTGTAGTTCCCTTAAATTTACCCCCAGGCAGTCAGCCTCTCTCACATTCACATATCTTTCTTTACACTTCTGCGGCTATAGTTGCCTCATTGTGTTTTCATTGCTTTTACGCTTCTGTATCTCACTACTAGAGTGTAAGCACCTTGAGGGCAGGAACTGTGACTTCATCACTGTTGTATACCCAGAGCTTAGTTTGGTTCCTGGAGTGTAGAAGGCACTCAATAAACATTTGTTAAGTGAACGCTCAGCGTTGAGAAAGAAGCATAACAGACTATGGAGATTCAGAGGACAGTAACCAAACCATCATAGAGAGTGCAGGAAAATTTCAGAGGAAGATACAGCTAAACTGAGACCTGAAGGATAACTGCAACTTATCCATTCATAGGCTGAGGGCAATCCAGACAAAAATAATAACATGAGCAAAATTCATATTTGTAAAAGAACAGGGTCCATTGAAAGCCAAAAAGATCAGCTGTGCCTTCTGTTTACCATGCCTGAATCAAAACATATATATATGTATATAAGCGTATGTATGTATGTGTGTGTGAGAGAGAAAACCTTAGTTTTTAAAAGCTTAATTTGCTATAACAAAAAATCAACTCCATCAACCTATAAAACACGTATATTTAGCCCCAAACCCTCTATTGGGCTAAACAACATTTCCATCAACTTTCTCATTATTTTCTTTTTCCTTAAGTCAAATTTTAATTTAAAAAAATTTTTTTTAATTCTCCATTTTAACTGTTGGTGTTTTCATAGTAGTTTTTAAGTAGTTCTGTTGCAGACGATGGTATGGTTAAGTAGAGAGAGGTGAACCTAACCACTTTGCCTGAAATTATTATGTATAGAAAAACAGTTGCAGGTTCCAAACACTTAAATTAGAAATGAACATTTAGGAAATGACCTTCTTCTAAATTGAGGCTTTGGGTGCACACAGGACAAGCTGTAACAGAATGTAGTAGAAAGCAGACTGGTCTTGGAGTACACAAGTCTATGCCATTTCCTTTACTATGTCCATGAGACTCTCAATCTCATCATTTCTTGAATGGGATCTGTAATATCTGCTCTATATTATTCATAGGTATTCCCAAAATTGAAAGAGGAACTCTATGTGAAATCCATCACCTAACAGATGGTAGAGGGTTGTATTCCGTTATAGCACAAGTAGATCTGCTATTTGTACATTAGAAAATAAAAATTTTACGCCCCCTTCCACAACTACAATATTATATATGGAAAATATGTACAACCATTTAAGTTAGTCAAAGTAAAGCTATTCTTTTTACAGACACAGTTTTAAGTAGTTGATGTCTACGTCTGTGGCATGACCACAACAAGTGTGTTTATGTAGAAATGGCTGTTTGCCTTATTAACATGAGGCTAATACACATTGTAACCATTTTGTCTCATAGAATGATTGAAGATAGTGGGAAAAGAGGAAATACCATGGCGGAAAGAAGACAGCTGTTTGCAGAGATGAGTAAGTATGGAACTTTGAAGGAACACCCTTGAATACTCATGGAAGGCTGGAAACAACCACTTAATCCTTATGACATTTGTGCTTCTCCCTAAAATCCTAAAGTCTTTACATAAAATGTATGTTTAGGCGTTTTTGCCTCCTCTTGGGTAAGAATTAAATTAGATAGTGAATCATCCATAATTTGTTACTAAGACTGTATATCGTATATGAAAGAAAAAGGTTCGTGGACCTGAATGTATATATACATACACAGATGCTTAATAAACACTAGTGTTGGCATTAATACAATCCACTAAACTTCAAAGTCTGTGTTCATTTCCCCGTACTACCACAGGGTCTGGCACATTGCAGGCAATAGATAAAAATTTTGAAATGAATCATTGAATGTCTTACCCACAAAACAATATCATATGTTCATATGGGAAAGAGGAGTCAGGCGTGATTACCAGACCAAGCTATAAGCTGTCATTTGAACTTCATGCAACGGGGGACAAGCTGTCCTACAAACTAGTTTCTAAAAAGTGAAAAGGAAAACAAAGGTTTAAAAGAGCTTGGAGGTGACCTGCTATGCAAGGAAAACCAAACCGAGACTATATTTACTGACTCCAATGGAGAACTCATTAAATAAAGATTGTTGGTTTATGTAAATGCAAGGTTGCTGTGTAAGTAATTGGGTGGTAGTATCTCCTTCTAGACCATTTTTCTTATTCATAAGTAAGAAGAACTTGACACTGGGGGGAAAACACACATCTCAAATTAAATGTTATAAAGAAAAAAGTACGATTCTCTTATGGACTTTTTATCTCTCCTTCCCTGCAGAAGGAATGAGGATGAGCAGAAGTGAGTCGTAAGCCTTTTACTCGGGGAAGGCAAGAGGCAAAATTAGGCTTCTACTGAAGATTGAAACTGATTGGCAAGAATGAGGGTCAGAGCAGATAAAGGAAAGCCCCAGACAATAAGATTCACATTTTCCTTTATCATTTTCCAATAATCTGGAGGCACCAAGACAGCATTAGAACTAACAAAGAGGAAGGAAAATTAAAATTGATGTGGAGAATCTCAATCGTGCTCCTTGCTTTTTCCACTTTTAGAAACATGTCTAAAGTGCCTGTGACAGTTTCAGCCATGACCTTCCAATTTCCATGTCTGATACTGTAGCCTCACTTCTGGCCTGACCAGTGATCTGGAACTGTGACCTTTGCTGATACAATTCTGACAGAGGAAGGAACCTAGTTACTGCCTGGCCAGCTAAACAAAATCCAAAGCAGCACAGGTATCCTCTCCTATCATAGATTCTTAGACTGAAGAGGCAAGAGCTATGTATATCATGGGCCAGTGTTTTGTCAGAAAAAGAAAAAAAACATTAATTTTTAACATAGAAAAGCAATAAAGTCTTAGAGGAAATCTTAAATTTATCATTGTTACATTAAAGACCGTATTAGCCAACAGACTGTAAGAATTTTTAAAGTGTGCTTATGTCATGATTTTATAAAATTTATCTGAATTTAAGCACATAATCCCAGCTCCTTCTACACCTGGTGCAGTGTCTGGCACAGACAAACACATATGTCACAAATGTCTTTTGAATTAAAGTTGTCCAAATCAGGGCTTCCCTGGTGGCGCAGTGGTTGGGGGTCCACCTGCCGATGCAGGGGACACGGGTTCGTGCCCCGGTCTGGGAGGATCCCACGTGCCGCGGAGCGACTGGGCCCGTGAGCCATGGCCAATGAGCCTGAGCGTCCGGAGCCTGTGCTCCGCAACAGGAGAGGCCTCAGGGGTGAGAGGCCTGTGTACCGCAAAAAAAAAAAAAAAAAAAAAAAAAAGTTGTCCAACTCAAAGAAAGATCAACATAAGTTTTATAGCCATAGAAACAGAAAAGCCCTAAATTTTTCAAATGAGAGAGACTTAGGAAAATTGTGCATTCATTTCTCAAATTGTAACTTAACCTTTTCATAGAAGCTTCTCAGGGAGATCATACAGTTTATTAAATCATTTTGAGTTCTCCTGATTAGTGATCAAAATAGTGAAGCAAGCCACACAGATATGTATCTTTCTTCCTTTCTTCCTCTCTTCAAAAGCAAGGAAACACATCTGACCTTAACAATTCATCAGTGAGCATCGTGTTCAGGTTAACACTAAATAGGACAACACGTCCACAGTAAGTGGGATTCTGCCAGATAAAGCAGTTGGCTGATTTCAACAGGAGAAATTGATTTTGATAGACTGTCAGACAAAAGAGAAATGTAATCTCATTGAGAATGTGTTAAACATTTGAAAAATATATGGGTTACCCCAGTTCTATCAGCAGGACACCAAAGAAAAACAAGGAAACTATTATCAGAGAAGACTGACATCGAAACTTAGAAAGTAACTTCTTCCAGGAATCTATGATGTCTAGACAGGGAGCTGAAAAAGAAGGAAGAACTTGTAAATCTGGTCAGCTAAGAATTACCTAGAAGGAGTTCTTTTTAAACATGAAAGGAAAGTGCCGAAGAGCTTCTTGGTTTTGGAAATTGCAAATGTCACAGGAAAAAAAAAAAAGCAGTTAAGGCAGGGAAGACTTCTTTCAATACTATTGTGAGAGGGGAGAGAGATGGAACTCAGCTCTGCCGGAACCAAAGACAGGAGGGTTTCTAAGCACTGGGGTGAGCTAGAGCAGCAGTACTGGAGGATACCAGAGGGGAAGTTGGTCAACTGTGTTTACTCATTGTCACAATGAGGAAGTTAGGCTCCTACCCTCCCACAGAGACTAGGAGATCTCCTTCAATGATTTCATTTCCAAAGAATGGCTCCCAGTCCTTGAGAAAGATATTCCTGGGTTGTAAAACTGGCAAAAGTCTGGGAGGTTTACATCTTTAAAGGGGCAGACAAAGAATTTACAAAGGAAAGTTCTGTAGAAAAGTAAGTGCTCTAAGAAAAGGGAGATCAAAGACCTAGAGTCAGGAAGAAACCTGTCTAAAGGTTAGTCAAGCTGAGGGGAACCTTACCAAAGCAAAAGAGCAGAGAACACAGAAAACATGGTGACGATTTTTTTTTATTTAATTTAATTTATTTTTTATACAGCGGGTTCTTATCAGTCAGCAATTTTATACACACAGTGTATACATGTCAATCCCAATCTCCCAATTCATCACACCACCACCCCACTCCCACCACTTTCCCCCCTTGGTGTCCATACGTTTGTTCTCTACATCTGTGTCTCAATTTCTGCTCTGCAAACCGTTTCATCTCTACCATTTTCTGGGTTCCACATATATGTGTTAATACACGATATTTGTTTTTCTCTTTCTGACTTAACTTCACTCTGTATGACAATCTCTAGATCCATCCACGTCTCTACAAATGAACCAATTTTGTTCCTTTTTATGGCTGAGTAATATTCCATTGTTTATATGTACTACATCTTCTTTATCCATTCGTCTGTTGATGGGCATTTAGGTTGCTTCCATGACCTGGTTATTGTAAATAGTGCTGCAGTGAACATTGGGGTGCATGTATATTTTTGGATTATGGTTTTCTCTGGGTATATGCCCAGTAGTGGGATTGCTGGGTCATATGGTAATTCTATTTTTAGTTTTTTAAGGAACCTCCATACTGTTCTCCATAGTGGCTATATCAATTTACATTCCCACCAACAGTGCAAGAGGTTTCCCTTTTCTCCACACCCTCTCCAGAATTTGTTGTTTGTAGATTTTCTGATGATGCCCATTCTGACTGGTGAGAGGTGATACCTCATTGTAGTTTTGATTTGCATTTCTCTAATAATTAATGATGCTGAGCAGCTTTTCATGTGCCTCTTGGCAATCTCTATGTCTTCTTTGGAGCAATGTCTATTTAGGTCTTCTGCCATTTTTGGATTGGGTTGTTTGTTTTTTTAATATTGAGCTGCGTGAGCTGTTTATGTATTTTGGAGATTAATCCTTTGTCTGTTGATTCATTTGCACATATTTTTGCCCATTCTGAGGGTTGTCTTTTCGTCTTGTTTATGGTTTCCTTTGCTGTGCAAAATATTTGAAGTTTCATTAGGTCCCATTTGTTTGTTTTTGTTTTTATTTCCATTACTCTAGGAGATGGATCAAAAAATATCTTGCTGTGATTTATGTCAAAGAGTGTTCTTCCTATGTTTTCCTCTAAGAGTTTTTTAGTGCCTGGTCTTACATTTAGGTCTCTAATCCATTTTGAGTTTATTTTTGTGTATGGTGTTAAGGAGTGTTCTAATTTCATTCTTTTACATGTAGCTGTCCAGCTTTCCCAGCACCACTTATTGAAGAGACTGTCTTTTCTCCATTGTATATCCTTGTCTCCTTTGTCATAGATTAGTTGAGCATAGGTACGTGGGTTTCTCTCTGGGCTTTCTATCCTCTTCCATTGATCTATATTTCTGTTTTGGTACCAGTACCATATCGTCTTGATTACTGTAGCTTTGTAATATAGTGTGAAGTCAGGGAGTCTGATTCCTCCAGCTCTGTTTCTTTCCCTCAACACTGCTTTGGCTATTCAGGGTCTTTTGTGTCTCCATATAAATTTTAAGATTTTCTGTTCTAGTTCTGTAAAAAATGCCATTGGCAATTTGATAGGGATTGCATTGAATCTGTAGATTGCTTTGGGTAGTAGAGTCATTTTCACAATACTGATTCTTCCAATCCAAGAACATGGTATATGTCTCCATCTGTTGGTATCACCTTTAATTTCTTTCATCAGTGTCTTATAGTTTTTTGCATACAGGTCTTTTGTCTCCCTGTGTAGGTTTATTCCTAGGTATTTTATTCTTTTTGTTGCAGTGGTAAATGGGAGTGTTTCCTTAATGTCCTTTTCAGATTATTCATCATTAGTGTGTAGGAATACAAGAGATTTCTGTGCATTAATTTTGTATCCTGCTACTTTACCAAATTCATTGATTAGCTCTAGTAGTCTTCTGGTGGCATCTTTAGGATTCTCTATGTATAGTGTCATGTCATCTGCAAACAGTGACAGTTTTACTTCTTCTTTTCTGATTTGGG